CATTCTCTCCCCCACCAGTGTTTCTTCAAATTCTCACTCAAATAGGCTACTTGCACTTAAATCATGGTCTCGGGGTGTGCTTCTGGGAAAACCCGAACTAGCTGTGGGATTGGCCCAAAGTAGGCACTCAATAAATATTTGCTGAATGAATTCATAAAACAATAAACTTGTTGAATGAGTGAATGAATGACAAAGTCATGTCTCTATCTTTCTCCATAAGGAGACTAAGCTCCTGGTTGGCAGAGACCACCTGGTTCATCTTTGTATTCCTGCTTAATAGTGTGTCTGACTCACACCAACAGTTCCATAAAGGGTGAGTTGAATTAAATGACCTCAAAATAGCCCTTGGTGGAAAGTGAAAGTGGCCACATAACAAACTGTGGGTTTTAGCGAGGTGGAGGTAAAATTTCTTTGGGCATCTGCACCAAGAACTTTTTAAAAGCAAAGGAGCGGTGGTGACAGCATGTACTCGGGAATTAAAAATAACTTTCTTATGAGAAATGCTTTGGATGGAACAGGAAAAAATAAGGGGAAAGCTGGAGAATGACAGGAGCCAGGTCATGTTTGGATGATACAGCTTCCTCAGGACAAGCAAGAAAATCCAAGGTGCTACATGGGTTAGCCTCCGTAGTGGTGTTGTTGATTTCTGACACATTTCAGAGCTGCCAACCACTGATTCACAGTCCTGCTAAAATAGAAGGTCCTAAGAGGTACCGTGAGTGAGGGCCTTTGCTCTGGTGCTGCAGGGTCCCACTGCTTCCCTATTTCTGCTGTTTGCTTTATACATGAAGTTCTTTTGGGGGGAGACTGGGACTGAGCTCAGGGGGGCACTCAACCACTGAGCCACATCCCCAGCCTTATTTTGTATTTTATTTAGAGACAAGGTCTCACTGAGTTGCTGAGTGCCTTGCCATTGCTGAGGCTGGCTTTGAACTCTTGATCCTCCTGCCTCAGCCTCCTGGGATTATAGGTGTGCACCACTGCACCCAGCTGTACATGAAGATTTTTTTGTAGCATGTTAGAAACCAGTTTAGTGTTGAAGCTTTCTTTTGTGCTGCCAAGGATGTCGTGTGTGTGCACACACAAGTGATGCGTGTGCACAGGGTGGGAGGGTGGTGACCCGTTATGTATCAGTTCTATGTAAAGGCCAAGATATTTATAGTCAAATCTGTTCCAATGATCAGTGTTATAAGATGCCTTTCTTTAAATGATATGATATATGTTAAAGTTCTTGGCAAAGCACCTTCAACACAACAGATGCTCAATAAAAATGCTAGGTGAATTCGGATCTGAATTATAGCACCTTTTATTACCCATGCTTCTACTCCCTCTATGGGTATGAATGATTGAGAATAGCTTTTAAATTTTAGGGCACTACTTTCGAAAAATGATTTGCTTATTTCACAGTAATACTATTTCTCTTCGTTATGAAGTGCTTTTTTTATTTTGGCTATTACACATACAAATGCATAAGTCTAGTTTTGTAGAATTTAATTTATCTCAATATATAGGTTACAAAAAACAGATTCAGTTCTTTGGGAGGGTTACCCTAGTTTTCTATCTTGTTTTTAATATATTAAAATATTTCCAAATGAAAGGAGAGTTTAAAAAGAAATCAGGACCCAATCACGCACGAAAGTAGATTATTCTTTTTAGAAGTAAGCTGGAGAAAACGTTGTTTTGGTTTCAAAAGGTTGACTTAGACTAGGTTGACTTTTGGTCACTGTACTAACTAGTTTGGGGTCTGATTTATTTTTTAAATTTAACATCATCATCATCATCATTATTATTGTTCACTACTGTCTTTTTTGTTTTTTAACCTGTTTAGGACTGAGTGGTCATTTCGGTTTAGTCTTTGTTTTGTTTTGTTTTAAGTAATGTGAGATTAAGCGTAGTAAGTCACAAACCCAGTCTGGAAATCTAGGGGACCTCATGTATCCCAGAAGCAGTGCATCTCCTTTCCTACCTCCCTAAGTTAAAGTGATGCCCAATCATGGAAAATCCCTTGTTTGAGGACAAGAACTGCTCTCTGTTCAGGGCTTTCCTTCCATTCACTGCAGCTAAACAGAGCCCTGTCCTCCTCATGTCCTGCATCAGCTTCTCATTTCTTTGTCTTGAAGCCTGTAGATTGCTGTGGGAATGTTAAAGATTCTGGGAAAGGTGACAGGTTAAGTAAGCTTTATTCTGCATTAAGCTTATCAGGTCCTTTCCTGAATAGGAGATGTTAATGAGAGAGAGCAGAGATTACTTACATGGTTAAAGGTCTCAGAATTCAGACACATTTACTAAGGGGCCAGCTTTAAATCCAGATTGTTCTTGGCCATGGTGTTGAAGCTGCTTCTCCCACTGAAGCCATTATGAGGGGCAGCCTTTTGTCTGCCAGAAGTCACACTCTAGAAATGAGATGGAGAAGGCAAGGGGAATGATGAGGGGTCAAGCAATGTTGCCCAGAGCGAGAATGTCAGAACCGTGCCAGTGGATTAAGATAGAGTCATCACTTAGTATCAATAGGGGATTGTCCCAGGACTCCCCCCACCCCACACCAATATCTGAGGATGTTCAAGTCCTTTATATAAAATAATATAGTATTTACATATAACCTACACACAGACTTCTGTATACATGAAATCATCTCCAGATTACTTATGGTACCCAATACAATGTAAATGCTATATAAACAGTTGTGGTTCCCCCCCACCCCCTGCCCTGTCATGCTGCAGTCGATCCCAGGGCCTTGCCCATGCTTGGCAAGTGCTCCACCATTGAGCTCCTCACCAGCCCTATTACTAGTTGTTATACTGTATTGTTTAGGAAATAATGACAAGATATACATTTGTGCATGTTCAGTAGAGGTGCATATTAATTTTTTTTTGAGTACTTTCTATCCACAGTTGGTTGGATCCGCACATGTGGAACCATGGATATGGAGGGCCGGCGTGATTAGTTTTGCAGACGCACCCTAAAGCCCTCTGCACAGGGCTGGACAGCAGCACAGAGTCAGACACCAGACCTGTCTAACTGCTTGGTGGAGCCTTTTCGGCTCCACTTTAACCCATTCCATTCTTCATTTATTAAAGGCTTCAGTTGGAATGAGCCAGGCCCAAAGATATACCTTTGGAGAAGAGAGATGAAGTCCTGGTAAGACTTCCTAGGTATATGTGAATCTGCTTGTTGAGGCTGAGCTGTCTCTGTGCACTTGTGGTTGGTACTTCCAGAAATGGATTAAATTATTTTCTTCCCACTTAGAAGTTTGTTTGTCTGTGGCTTCACGTTGGGATTTGAAAGCCAGATGTTTTTTGTTGCTTCCCGCTTTTATAGGTCACTTTTCTGTTGCAAAGCCATTTTTCTCATTAGGTGGTAAAAAATCTCCATAAATTGTCCTACCTTGCTGAGTGGAGTGCCTTGCATATGTATAGCATTTTATGGTTTTCAAAGCACTTTTGCCTATACGATCTCACTGTGTAATGCTGTACTGGGTGTTCTGTATATACTCGCCATTTCCATCAACTCAGATACTTCTCTTTCTTCTACCATTTTTGAGGATAACACACAGGGTCATTCCCTCCTTCCTTTCATATTATTTTTCCCCAGGGCTATAAGTGGCAAAGGAATATTTCAAAGTACAATAAAAGCATCCCATATGAGTGATACTGCTTTTTGATGGCAAAGTGAAGATAACCTGGAGGCTTTTTATCCCTGTGAATTATGTTCTACTTTCTTAGGTTCATACTATCAGCAGGAATACTGAAAACAATTTAGCTTAGTAATTGCACCTGTGCACCCTGCCTTTTTAAATTGGTGAAACATCTCCTACAAGTGTGGTAGATCCACCTAGTATTCTGTGGGTTTATTTTTTTGTTTTTGTTTTTGTGCTTAGTGCTCCCCCCCCTTCTTTCTCAACTTAGAGCTTTGGTATTGTTAGTATTCATCCCTGATGGAGAAATTGTGTCTACCATGCACTAAGCATGGTTCTAGAGGCTGGATTCAGCAAAGAATACCCAGACAAAATACTGCTTTTATGGCTAGCTCTATGTCTTGGAGTCTTTGAAGATAAGCCATAAATTTTTTTGCATAGAACTCCTTCAATAACTTGAAGACTGCTCAGTTTCTTCTGAGTCTTCACGTCAAGCCAATGCTCCCAATTAACCCAGTGTAATACAGCTTCAGGTCTTTTCACTGTATGTATTGTCATATATTTCAATTAATATTATTTAATACTGAATATTGAGTTTGATATCTGTTAAATACTGAATTAAATTGATTTTTAGTAGACTGATTTTTTTAAAATTCTTTTTGTTATAAAGGTAATATGCACTTGGAGAATTCTGGAAAATACAAATAAATATAAAACATAAAAAAGAAGTTATCTGTAGTTCCATTATCCACTGTTAAAATGTTGGTATATTTCCTCCTAGCCTTTTTCAATTTGTATCTGTTTATATAGTTGAGATTGGAATGCAATATTTATAATTTTGTATCCTGTTTTCCACTAAACATTGATACTTACACATTTGACAAATAACAGTATATTCATAAAAATCATTTAAATAGTTGCAGAATGTTCCAGCCAGATAGACTTATTAAGATGAAGTCATAAAGGAGTATGTGGATTCCTGAATGGGGCTGCACTTTTTGCCTTTTCCTCAAGTCCTCAGCCTCCTAAACCACTGTGCTTTAAGTACTTACTACTAGTCCTGTATGGAAGGAAAATGCTGGAATACATATCTCCTGCTGATTCCTCTAATTTGGTTTATTACTGATATGCTGCTCTTTTCCCTTTCTGTTCATCGCTTGGTGTTTTCTCATTATCATTTGCTGCCCATCCTTTTGAAGAATAGAGTTACCTATAGATCTTCTTGTAACACACACCAGAATATCCCAGTGGCTATTTTTGAGGCTCTGTTCCCACCAGGTTCAATCTTGAGGAGTCTGTTGGAAGCAGTTCTTTGGGTGAATTGAATCATGGCAGCACAGGGCTCACTCTGGTCCTTGGATTGCAGGCCTCCAGCTGAACCAGAAGGCCCTTACCACCTTTCCAGATGTGGTGGTTGTCCGGGTGTCCACACCCTCTGTGCAGTCAGACAGCGACATCACTGTCCTGCGGCACCTGGAGAAGCTGGGCTGCCGCTTGGTCAATCGCCCACAGAGCATCTTAAACTGCATCAACAAATTCTGGACGTTCCAAGAGCTGGCTGGACATGGGGTCCCCATGCCAGACACTTTCTCCTACGGTGAGTCTCCTTAAAATACAGTAGGAACTTATCTTTCCAAACCTTCTGCCTCTCTGTGTTTTCTCTCTTCAGAAACCTTCCAGTATGACTTGCTTTTCAATGTGAGTCTGTTCATTTTAGGTGATTCAATATCTTGAGTCTTTATCCTGGCCATTCCCTCTGTCTGAAATGTCTTTGCTTTTTTCTGTCTGTAAGTCAGTCGCCAAATATGTGTCTGTTGACACTGCATGCCAGCCACAGTACCAGGCACAGGGCCATAGCAGTGAGAGTCCTTCCTGAGGTATTCCCAGTCCATCAGAGGCAGAAGACAACAGGTAAATGGGCAAGTTCAGTCCAGACCATTCAGTGTCTTGGTGAGACTTAGTGATCCCGGGTAATCCCAATGCAGTTTAGAAGACTTTAGAGAATGCTTCCTAAAGGAGATAACATCCATCTAAGTTGAAGTTGTCCTGCTAAAAGAAGGGGTATGGGAGGGGGGTGTAATCTAAGCAGAGAGAACATCAGAAGACCTGGTGGTAAGAGAAAACCTGACCTATTGGTGGTATTGAGAATAGTGTATAGAATGTAAAGAGAGAGAAAATTGAACTCTAGGATTGGAAAGATCAAACGGTGCCATAATAGCACATAAATGAGATCATAGGGTTAATCCAAGACTAACAGGAAGTTATCAGAGGACTTTCATCAGGGAGGTGGCCTGGTCAGAGTGACAGGGCAGAAGATCATTTTGGCTACTCTGTGGAGAAAGAATTGGATGGGGCCAAGTAGAGATAGATAAGAAGTTAATTACAGGAATAATATCCCATCATATTTACTGGTCCCCGCCATGTTCAAGAGGGAATTCTACAAGGAGTGTTCACTGGGGATGGGAAACTTGAGGGCCATCCTAGAATTCTGCCCCCCATAGCCAGGATTACATGAACTGGAGCTACGGGCACCCACCACCACCACACGGGTGCTTGGTAAATCTTGATTTCCATACCTCTCTGCTCCCACCTTTTACATTACAGGCACATAATGTATGTCTGTTGGGTCCAATGGGTTTGAATTGTCTTAATCAGGGAGATATGCAGCCTCCTGCAGAAGGGGCTGGGCTGACCACTCCCTGACAATCAGTTTTATCTTTGCTGACTCTCACCCTTTCTTGGCAGGTGGACATGAAGACTTTTCAAAAATGATCGATGAAGCTGAGCCCCTGGGCTACCCAGTCGTGGTGAAGAGCACGCGAGGCCACCAGGGTCAGTGCTTCCCTTCCTGGGCTTCCTGGGTGATCAGTCTGCAAGGGCAGCAGTTCCACCTGCACAAGTGGAAGCGCTGCTTGAGGAGCTTGCAGGGTGATTCTCCTGGTCCCCTCCACTTGGTCCTCTCTGTCCTTGCTTTTGTCAGACCTTTATCCTCTTTTCTTGGGCTATTGCAATAGACATCTGTCTTTATTGATGGGTTTCTGAGCTCCTCTGCTAGTGCAACCTCTGTTCATCTTATTTTATTCATTTATTTTTTGGGGGGAGGAGTGATTTCTCTGAAACAGATGTATTCTTGTCACTCTTTTGCTGAACAGCCCCCACTGCAGCCCCTGTGTTGCTGTTAGACTAAGTCCATATTCCTTATCATGGCACTAGGGCCCCAGGCAGACAGCTTCAACCTTCCTTTGCAGTCTTCTCTGGTCATGTGGACCCCCCATAGTCCACTCCCCACTGTCTCTCATTCACCAGCTAGACCATGCTTTTTCCTCTCCATAATCCTTTGCCCTCTTCACTTTTCTGGGAGCACCATCTTCCTCTGCCCACCTGGTCAACTTTGGCTCATCCTATAAGGCCAGCTCCTAATACCATTTCTTTTCTATCCTCATCCCTGGTCTTCCTTACTGTCTTCCAGACAAAATTAATTGCTCTAGCCTTTTTGTTTCCATATCACTTTGTACATGTTTCTGTCATAGTGCTACTCCTGGTGACCGCTTTAGGTGTAAGTGCCTGTTTCCTTCATTAGACTGTAAGCAGCTCAAGGGTAGGGACTAGATTCTGAACCTGTCTCTGTGAGGCCCAATACAGGGCTCAGTGCATACCAAGGACTCAGCAGAAGAGAGCGTACTCCTGTAGTATGTGAGCAGGTAACTCTCCATGAGGCCCGGATGGCATAGCATGCTTAGGCTCAGGGCATCTGGAGAAGGGGAAATAGCCCCAAACAGGTATGTGATGACACTGTCTGTGAAGTAGGATCTGTGACATAGAAATGAACCAGACATAATCACTGCTCTCAAGGAGCTCCAGTGAGTAGACCAGAGAGGGGTTCCATTGCAGGGTAATGACCACTCTAGCAGACAGGCCTGAAGGAGGGAGGAGTTCACTCTGCTACGAAAGGAGATTTAAGTTACCATGTAGAATTTGAACTGGAAGAGATGAGTGAACACACAGAAGCAAGTGTGAACGAAACCGCTAGTGGGAGAAGAAAAGACTATTGAGCAAGAGAAGTTAGCAAAGGGGAGCTTTGATACTATTCACATAAGCTGCTGTGCTAAAATCTAACCAATCTCATCACTATTTTTAAAAATTGTAAAATGTACATAAAATGCAACTAATATTTATCAAGTGCCTATAGAATGCCATGTACTATTCTAGATTCTAAGGATATAGATAAGAACAACACATGGGCTTGGGATATAGCTCAGTTGGTTGAGTGCTTGCACAAGGCCCTGGGTTCAATCCCCAGCACCACACATACACACACACACACACACACAAAAAAAAAAAACCACAAAAATTCTTGTCCTCAAGAAGCTTACATTATAGAAAAGTGTGATAGACAATAAACAGAAATTAAACATAACATGTTATATTTTTTAAAGTTTTAAAAATTGAGATATAATCTATAAGTATTCCCAAATACTTACTACTGTTAAGTTATAAAATTCAGTGGATTTTAGTATATTCACTATGTCTTATGATAATAACAACTGTCTAATTTCAGAACATTTCTATCTCCCCACCACCAAAGAAACCTTGTACCTATTATATCAAAATGGACTCTACTGTCATGTATAACTAAAAAGAACCAATAAAAATAAAAATTAAAAAAAAAGAAGTTAGTCCTAATTGCCCTTTCCCTAGTCCCTGGAAACCACTATTCTATTTTCTGTCTCCATGGATTTGCCTGTTTTGGATATTTTTAAATAAATGGATTCATATAATAGATGGACTTTGGTGTCTGGCTTCTTAGCATGTTTTCAGAGTTTATCCATGTTGTAGCATGTAACACTGCTCTACCCCTTTTGAGGAGTCAGTGATACTCCATTGTATAGATATACCACATTTTGTTTACCTGTTCATTGGTTGGTGGACATTTGGGTTGTTTATTACCACTTTGTGACTATTAAGAATAATGCTGCTATATGAACATTTGTGTACAGGTTTTCATGTGACCAGACATTTTCATTTCTCTTGAGTATCTGGAAATGGAATTGCCAAGTGCTGTGGTAATTCTCTGCTTCACTTTTAGAAGACTGCCGAGTTGCTTTCTACAGTGCTTATGCCATTTTACATTCCCACCAGCAACATCATATGAGAGTTTCCTTTGCACATGTCCTTGCCAATGCTTGTTATTTTCTATGTATGCATGTATGCATGTTTATTAGAACCATCCTAGTGGGCATGCAGTGGTTATTTCCTTATGGTTTTGATTTGTATTTCCCTAATGACTGATTATGTCAAGCATCTTTTCATGTGCTTAGGGGCCATATTTAAATTTTCTTTGGAGGAAAATTTACTCAAATCCTCTGCCCATTTTTAAACTAGTTCCTTTATTTTTGAGTTTTATAGGTTCTTTAATGTGGATACTTGACTCTTCTTAAATATATAATTTGAACTTTTTGTTTTTAACCATTTTGTATGTTGCCTTTTCATTTCTTTCTTTCTTTTTTTTTTAGGTACTGGGGATTGAACCCAGGGGTGCTTAACCACTGAGCCACATTCCCAGCCCTTTTTTTTTTTCATATTTTATTAAAGACAGGGTCTTGCTGAGTTGCTAAGTGCCTCACTAATTTGCTGAGATGGGCTTTGAACTTGTGATCTTCCTGCTTCAGTTTCCAGAGCCACTGGGATTATGGGCATGTTCTTGGTAGTGTCTTTGGTGCACAAAAGGTTTTTTATTTTGATAAAGCTAATTTTATTCTTTCTTCGGGTTCTGTGTGCTTTTGATATTATTTTTGTGCTTGCCTAATCCAAGGTCACATTGATTTACGTAAGCTTCCTTCTGAGAGTTTTATATCTGAGTCTTTGATCCATTCTGAGTTCATTTTTGTATATGGCATGAGGTCAGGGTCCAGCTTGATTCTTTTACAGGTGAATATTCAGTTTCCCCGGTACCATTTGTTGAAGAGACTGTTTGTTCCCCATTGATTGCTCTGGGAATCCTTATCAAAAATTTGACCAGGCTGCAGATATAGCTCTTTGGTAGAGTGCTTGCCTATGTGTGAGGCCCTGGGTTCAATCCCTAGCACTGAACAACAACAATGAAAAACTCAGTTGACCATATATGTGAAGGTTTATTTCTGAGCTCTCAAACTTTCTTTTTTTTAAATCTATATCTCAATTTCATATCATTGACATATATGTCTGTCTTTATGCCAGGCCACATTGTCTTAATTACTATGTCTTCGTAGTAAGTTTAAAATTGGGAAGTGTGAATCTTCCAATTTTGTCTTTCTTCTTCAAAATTATTTTGACTTTTTGGAATCCTTTGCAATACCATATGAATTTTAGGATTAGCTTGTTGATTTCTTCCAAAAAGGAAGTTGGAATTTTGATAGGGAATGATAGCTGAAATTGAGAAGTATTACCATCTTAACAATTCTTGTCTTCCCATTTATTTAGATCCTTAATTTATCTCAACAGCATTTTATCATTTCAGTGTGTAAATCTTGTACGTCATTGTTTAAATTAATTCCTAAATACTTTAATCCTTTTGATGCTATTGTAAATTGAATTGTGTTCTTAATTTTATTTTCAGATGATTTGTTACTAATGCAACGTACAGTCTAGTAGAAGGGAAAATGGATAGGGAATAAACAGAGTTTCAGTACTTTTAAGTTAGACTATAGTATCAATGTCCTTTGGCATACACAGAGGATTGGTTCTAGGATCCCTCAGGGATACTAAAGTCCGTAGATGCATAAGTCCCTTATATAAAATGGTATAGCATTTGCAAATAATTTACACATATCCTCTTGTATACTTTCAGTCATCTCTAGGTTACTTACAAAATGTAAGACAAGGCAAATGTTATATAAATAATTGTTTTGTGTTGTTTAGGGAATCATGACAAGGAAAAATGTCTGTACATGTTCAGTATGGATGCTGTGTTTTTTAAATAATTTTTTAATCTGTGGTTGATGAATCTTCAGATGGAGAATCCTCACATACAACTGTATATGGAAATAAATCCAAGGAGAGAGTGAAAGCACAGGCTGTGCCCATGAGAAAGTTACTAAGCTTATGGACCTTTTATTTCCTTATCCATAAAACAGAAATAACCATCCTTACTCCATGGCTTCATAGGACTAGTGTGAAGTATAAATGAAATAATAAGAGAAAAAGTGCTTGGCACTTGGTAGATGATTAATCTTTGTGCCTTTTTTTTTTCTCCTCCTTGCCTTAAAACTGCTATTCCTTTGTTCATTGCAGACTAAAACCCCATTTTAGGACCTCTGAACCAATCCCTAGCCACCAATCTCTACTGAAAATCCCACCTAATGTCCAGAGAACTCCAGTGCTTCTAACTAAACCCCAGCCATCTGTTGCCAGATGCCTCATCTCCTGATGCCAAGTGTCTAACTGCTTATACTTCTGCTCATTAATTGAGAGTTGGAACAAGTCAGATGCTGTTTTGTGTCTACTCACTGTTCTGTGTCACTCCTGTTTCTTCCTGTGCCCTCTTGCAGGACCCTCTCCAAATGACACTGACTGCCCACTTAACTGCACACCCTCCTACCACCTGTCACTTGGACATCTTCAGATCATTTGCTTACACTCCTCCAGTTCTGTTGAATATCTTGGGTTCATTCAGGAATGAATTACTGGTTATGTCATGTTTTTGAAGTTACTTTTCAGTCTTATATGCTACTAGGAACTGATTGATGCCCATCAGTGTTTTTATTGAAACTTTGGAGGGCAAGGTGTGGTAGCACATGCCTGTAATCCTAGTAAGTTGGGAAGCTGAGGAGGAGGATCAGCCTCAGCAACTTAGAACCCATCACAAAATAAAAAATCAAATTGTCTGGAAATGTTGCTCAATGGTAGACTGTCCCCGGATTCAATCCCCAGTACTATTACAAAAAACAAACAACAACAACAACAAAAAAAACTTCAGAGAAGTTTCACTTCTTTTGTGAAGTGAAGTGACATGAAATTGGGAAAACCATTTCTTTGTTCCATCTTTGCCAGTTCAGACTGGCATACTTATGACAGATCTGCACAGCAAACCTTTTAGGAACTCCTGCTCAGATCTGTTGACTAATATGCAAATGGAAGCAGATGCTGAATAATTATAAAACATAGGTGATTCAAGCAGGAAATAAAAAATTTAGAATCAAGAAGGAATGCTTTCCCAAAAAGCAATAGAAATATGTACCCTTCCCCTTCAAAATTAAATAAATAAATAATGAATAGGACTTCTATCAGGGTCTCCCTCCTTTGAGCTCCCATAGATTTTGCATAGACCTCTTTTGATGCAAATCATGCTGTACTATGGTTGCCTGTTTTGAATTTCTTTCCATACCCACTTCGGATTCCTCTAAAAATGTTCAATTAATTGTGCTCTGTAAACACTGATGGGCATCTGCTTTGTATACCAAGCCCAGTGTGAGATTTGGGGGATACAAAAAAAAAATGTGTTGGCCATGGACCCTGCCTAATTATCATCCTCAGGTGATAGGAAATGCTAATTAACTCTTTCTGGAATGGATTTGATTAGATCCTTAGGATTTTATTTTAGCCCCTTCTCTGTATTTCTGGAATGCATTACTATTTCATTTTGAGAAGAGTGGTGGTTTTCTCACGGGGAGAGACTCAACAGTATTTTAAGACCTGAGGAAAATCAAGAGAAAATAAGGTTCAATGGCCATTTGATAAGAAGCAGGAATCTCATCAGAGAAATAGAAAGGGCCAAAATGAGGTAAGTTCAGAGAGAATTGATACTCATTTGGGACAGGGAGGCATAATGGCAAGGATAGGGGCCTGAGGCTTTCCTAACTAACTGTTTCTCTTGCTCTTCATCTTTCTTCCTAAAGGAAAAGCTGTTTTTTTGGCAAGAGACAAACATCACCTTTCAGACATCTGCCATCTAGTCCGCCATGATGTGCCCTACCTGTTCCAGAAGTATGTGAAGGAGTCCCACGGAAAAGATATCCGGGTGGTTGTGGTAGGGGGCCAGGTGATAGGCTCCATGCTTCGCTGCTCTACAGATGGACGGATGCAGAGCAACTGCTCCCTTGGTAAGATATAAAGGCTCAGATTGGGTCTATGGGTCATGGAAGGCCACCTGGATATTTCATTAGGCCGTTTGGACCTGCTTAGTAAGTGTATATCAATTCCTACTGTCTTGTCAGTCCTCCGTTAGGCACCAGGGTCTCACAGAGAAGAATGAGAAATGAGCCCTTTCCTATGGCAGCAAGCAGTCCAGGAGGGGGACATGTGAGTGTCAGTGCTGTGACAGAGGTCAGGGCAGGGATATCAAAGACACTGAGTTTGAATCCTATCCTGTTGGTAGTAGGACTTAGCAGTGTGAGTTAAACAAGGGATTGTTAGAGAAAATCATTTGAGAAAATCTCCCATTGGGGTAAAGGATGGATTAGAGTTGTAAGACAAGAGGCAGGGAGATGAGTTTGGAATCTCTTGCAGTGTCTCAGGCCAGGAACACCAAGGGTCTATATGAAGGTACCAACCAGAGAAAAACTATGTTTTGATTTCACATGTTAATTGAAATTTTTATTTTCCTCTCACATATGATACTATTAGAAAGCTGCAGTTTATATTTTGGTTGAATGCATAACCCCATCCTTTTAACTTATTGATAAAGCTTGTTTTTTGTCATGGCTGAATGGAGGAGATATTCCAGGAGGGATGTAAATTCTTCTCTCCATCACAGAAAGCTGTTGTCAACCTCATTGAATGACTTTTTTATGTTGGTAATTAAAAAAACAAAAAAAACCCCTATAGTTCCTATTTCCCAACTCACCAGATGAGTATGCCAATTCCAGCAAATAATCAAGAGGCTTAGACACTGGTTTAGTCCTTTTACTAGCATTCCTTGAGCACCCACAGCAGCTTTGCCGAAGATGTTGAGAGAATAGAGATTATAAGGCAGTCCTTGCCCTGGGCCAGCATGTGGTCCCATAAAGAGGACAAGCAAGCAGATAATTGTAAGATACTGTGGCGAAGTTGCGTGACAGGCAAGTGTGAGATTTAGTTTGACACAGTACTACGTAACTTAGAGTTGTTTCATTTTCATGATAATCATGTAATGCTGCAGTATTGAACTTCGTGGTTGATTATTTTGTCTTTTTTGATTACGTCACTAAAGAACCATAACAGTTTTATAATATCCACACTACATTTTCCTGGTAAGCTATTTTAAAACTGTTTTTAGCCTTTTCTTTACAAAATCATGTCCCAGGTGGGGAAAGGACAATGTAAAGGTAAAGAAATTAGTTATTGGGCCTGAAAATACAATTTTAAGTCTTTCTAGGGAGACAATGAAGTCTGAGGTCCTAGCTTTTTAATAAGTAAGGGCAATCAAACGGCTCCTGTCCTTGATATAGGATTTTATCTCACAATCCTCTCCATCTTTATCTTCTTAAAAATTAACATTTTTCTCTAATCATAAAAGGAATACATTTTCAATGTAAAAAATTTAGAAAGTACAGCAAAGTCAAATGAAAAAGAAAAAAAACTTATCATATCCCCACCATTTAGAGACAACTATTAATAACAGTTGGTATCATTCTTCTCAATTGTTTTTTCTCGTAGATATTTTTTGCAAGTTATCACCATAAAATACTATACGATACCATCTTTAATTCTTCTGAGTCACTTCCTGAGGGCTTACAAACTCTATGAGCATTATCATTAATGGTTATAAAATGTGCTATTTTCTTCTGTTGTGAGATGTTTAGATTATAATTTTTATGTCTAGATTCAACAAATATTTATTGAATGCCCTCTGCGTACCAGGAACTAGGATTTTTCAGTGTTTTAAATAATACTGCCATCAGCATCTTGGTGTGTAATAATTTTTTCCATATACAAAATCATTTCATTAGTGATGAGATAGCTGGGTAAGAAGTTCTCAGCGTTTTTAAGATTCTAGATAAGAAATATCCGTATTTTTTTTCCCCAAAGGGTGTCCTGATTTCCATCCAGGCCTTTTGTGAGTAATGCCAATCATGCTGCGTCTTATCAACAGTCCTGTCTCTTTCCTGAAGGATCATTTGATTCATTAGGGAGCATCTTTTGTTCCCTTGACATCACTGTGCTTTCTCCACAGGTGGTGTGGGTGTCATGTGTCCGCTGACAGAACAAGGCAAGCAGTTGGCTATTCAGGTGTCCAACATCCTGGGCATGGACTTCTGTGGCATTGATCTTCTCATCATGGATGATGGCTCCTTTGTGGTGTGTGAGGCAAATGCCAACGTTGGCTTCCTAGCCTTCGACCAGGCTTGCAACTTAGATGTGGGGGGGATCATTGCAGACTATACCATGTCCTTGCTGCCAAATAGGCAGACTGGGAAGATGGCTGTCCTCCCAGGACTGTCGAGTCCCAGGGAGAAGAAGGAGCCAGATGGCTGTGCTTCAGCTCAGGGAGTTGCAGACAGCCCCTACACCATCAATAACGGGTCTACCTCTAGTGAGAGTGAGCCTGAATTGGGAGAGGCCCGGAATTCCTCAGCAAACACAGTGGGGGGGCCTTCCCCCCATGCTTCCCGAGCCTGGATACAACATTAACAATAGGATGGATTCAGAATTAAAGCTTGAGTGAATTTCTGCTTTTTGGCAGCATTTAAACCAAATCCTACAGCTTCCCTAGTAGTTTTGAGTGAATAAAATCTGGACTAATGTGATTTCATTTGCACAGAAACTAGAAATCCCATCTGGGCACTCAGCATTCTTTCTAATGATGATTTAAGCAAATGGCCTAGCTTTGTGGTTTTTACAAAGACATATAAAACACTCACCAAGAACAACATCCCAACTGATCGATTTGAGACCAGTGTCTGCTGTGAGCTCTTGGATATAATGGTAGACTTTCAGGCACTGACGCTGTGCTACTTCTGGCTGGTAGCAGTAGAGAACAAGAACTTAGAATATCTCCTGGAAAAACTGGACTTAAAAGCAGCCATGAGATGGAGGCATGTGCAGACAATGTGGAATGTGACAGTAGCATGTTCTTCACTCAGCGTGTGTATGAGGCTGGGAGAACACACAGTTCAAACACTGTTACAGGATCGATATCTGCTCCCCTCAATCACCATCTTGACCATATTTCTCTGACACTCAGGATATGGTGTTTTAGGGAGCTTCCTCATTTGCATTTTCAGTGAAGCACTTTGTAGAAAGTGAGATTGCACATTCTTTGACCTCACTGGTTGGCATATGTGCTGCTTTGTAACTGGGGCTTTCTACAAATTGCTTTGCCACTCTGAATTTATATACCCTGCTTCGACTAATGCCAACTCCAGCAGCTTCTTGCACCTTTGCTGCCTTTGGCCTCAGCTGGAAATGCACTTCAACAAGCTAGTGGCCACACACTTTGTTTCTTAAGCGTGCACTAGAATCTAACACCAAGGACTTTCTTTTCAATGGACTCTGTTCACTTGTCATCCAGAAGCCAATAGGTATTTACCATAGAAAGTCACTGGAAGATAATCACTCTTTCCCCTCCTCTTACTGAAACTTTATGTATTGCTTAGCTGTAGAAGTTTTTCTCATATGAGTTGGTGTTGTGGGCCTGTTGGGTGGATAGAGCTATTGGAAACATACTCCAATCCCCTGGACATTCTACTCTTATCCAGGCTCCAGAAACCTGTCCTAACCCACTTTTCCAAACTGGGGAGACTCAGGTATCGGGAATTAACTCATTGCACATTTTTGGGAGGGGACTAACATAGACATGACACCAAGTGCTTTTCACTTTAACTCTTTAAGCAGTAGATGAGATCCTTTCCTTGGGAGAAATCATGGAGATGGAGTTTTTAATTTCTGCTTGTATGAAGTTTGACTGAAAACGAGCAATGACCAAATACACTGGAACAAATGCATTTAAGAGTTACCATCGTTGGAGTTATTCCCTTGGGAGATATCCTCTTGAGCTATGGTGTTGCATGCACCAAGAACACTTAGAATTCCTCTTCGGGATTATCTTTGAAGCCATGAAAGGAAAGAGGCCTCACAACTTAATAGTTGGACTTTGGTTTTTTTTGTTGTTGTTGTTGTTTTTTTTTTTTTTTTTTAATCTCTCCCTGACGACCCAGTCAACCACCAAGATAGTGCCAAGCTCCATCACCTGTTTTATTTATCAGACTTGTTTTCTAATGCACTTTGGCTATAAAAAAAATAATTCCTCAAAAAATACATGAACTCTTAAAGGACAGAGATTTACCAATACCAAGGAAGTTTACAAGTTTCCAAAGATGGTTCTAGAAATGTTCTGATTAAGGTCAGCTTCACTGGAATAAACGTACATCTTCCCAAGGTAACTACTTTGAAGGCAACGCCACCCATTTGGGTGCATAATTCCTATACTTACTCTGCTATAAATGTAAAATGTGTATAAAGTCAAGCTATTACATTTTCCCCACAACACATTTAAATAGAAATTGGCTCTTAAAGTATTATAGTTAAAAACCATATCTCACCAAGTAACAGTTGTACAATTGAAAAATGTTTGGTGCCATGTAATGGAGATTTCACACTATGCAGTTGTAGTTTAAATGCCGTCCAACATAGGGTGCATGCCACTAAACTGTAACCCAAGCAATGTGTCTTGTACAATTGAAAAAACGATAATACTTCACTCTTCTATAGGTTAAGACATGTACTTTATTTTTAGCACTCAGGGTGGCTTTAGAAGGATGGTTTCAAGTTTATTCTTGCCAGAATTGGTCAGATGCTTTCTGTGTAAACCTCTGAACCAAGTATTGACCTCCTGGAAGCTGCATTCACTCGTCTTCCTACTTTATCTAAAAGGATGCCAGCAGGGCCCCATCCTGAGCTGCACAGCTAGAGTGTTTCCAGATCTCTTTGCAAAAGAAGGCCCATTTTCCAGCTGGGAGTGACATCTGTCATCATTAGCTTCATTGCCTGGAACTGGCCCTGTCTAAAAGCTGGATCACAGCTGTATCCTAGACCCCTCCAAGATTTCCTGGACCACAGCTGGCCATGGACTTCGAGTCTCAGCCACAACTGCCCAAAGCTGCTAGAAAGAACATAGGGTACAGTACCAGACCTGGTTCTGGGTCTGCACTTAAATAGCTGTTCACCCTTGTGCAATCACTTGAGCTCTGGGCCATCATTTTTCTCTTCTTCAGACAGGGGAAAGACCTCTTCTGGTTCCCTCTTGGGGACACACTGAGGTTGAAGTGAGTTAATAAGTGAGGCTATGCTTTCAATAGAAGGTGGTAACAGATCACCTCTCTCATCTGGTTTTATACCAGCTTCTTATCACCCTCCTCTGAGGGAGTTAATAAAGGAAGAGGCCATCAAGTCTTGTCACTAGCAAAATAAACAGTGATGGGGCCCAGAAAAAGGAATGCAGCTTCTGGAGGACTTCTTTCTAGTTGCAAGGAAACATTACCTGAAAAGAGTAAGGCTCATGGGGTATTCAAAGAGCCTTCTGGATGTACCATATATAACCTGAAACCCAATTGCTGTATACCAACTAACTAAGTCTTCCTTATGTAATATAGATTCAGTGTCTGTATATGGTCTTCCCATTATTTGGTAGTAGCACCTTGAAACTGGTCAAAACCTGAATGCCAATAGCTCAGTCACTCAGAATATATATGATTCTGCACTTGGGAAAAAATGTCTTAATGCTATCTGTCTGATTGGGTATGGGGTGGTCTTTAGGGTCTGAGAAACAATATAAATGGGTCATAAGTAATTCCTGTCACAGTTGCAGACTCAATGCTTCCAGCTAAGGAATGCCATACAGTTGGGACAGGGCAATGAAGAAAGAGGAGGAGTAAGGTCCAGGATAGTTTTGTGAAAGAAATATGAAACCAGGAGTACTTGGAACTCTTGTGAGGAGGAGGAAAAAAATGCTTCTTCTATGGGTTATGTTAAGGAAAGAATCACAAATATATTGATTAGAGGTAGATGTCTTTGAAACTGCTCTGAGATGCATGGACTTCTGTTGACACTGAAGAAGTGAGGGAAATGTGCTTCATCTCTTCTGTAAGTCCTGAGGAATACTGGTCTTGAGGATACTCTGAATGTAAATCTTGGGAAGATTGAAGCAGCTAATTAGTGGGAGAGGTCCCAGGATCACCAAAGTAACAGCTAGCTCCCCCATAAGTGAATGGACCAAAATACCAGGCCCTGCAAAGACCAGGGCTATGGTTTACTGATGGGAGTGAAGGGACTCAGGTAGGAGAGGAAACCCAAACTCAAACAAGTCACTTCAGCTTAGTATTTCCCTTTGCACCTGGAAGTGAGGCCTCTGTTTACTATTAGTCTGTGCAGATGTTTTAGGAAAGCCCTAACAACCGCTATTTGTCACTGTTCCTGAAGTTAATGTTCTTAGATCTAGGGCTGTAACCTAATAGAAAATCTGGTATTGCTTTTGACTCTGCCTCTTAAACTCAAGATCAGTACAGATTGTTGCTTTGATATGTTTTTACCTGGAAGACTGTCCTTCTCAGGGATATATTGTTTTAATCTTTGCCTAAAACTAGATTATGCCTCCATTCTAATCTGTGGCTCAGCTCCGAAGCCCCCATAAAACTCACGTGGTTGAGTACGAACTTTCTCCCTTCATGCCTTCCAATTTCCTTCTTCAGGTGCGGTTCCTATGCCAACACGCAGCACTATCGTGAGCCCTTGGCTGACATCCCAGTGCTGTTTGGGGATGTTAGGTTCTCTGGGGCTCCAGAGCAACACTAGGAAAATTTTCCTAGAGAGCCAGGTTAGAGATCTGGAATAGCAGCACTTGGAGACTAGTCTAGACCCTATTTTACAAGTAGGGAATCCGAGTTCCAGAGGCTTTGGTTACTTAGCCAGTCAGCAGCAAAGCTGACCCAGACGATGTGATTCCCCATCCAGGCTAGCATAGTGCCAGAGGTGGCTCTGTCCCTCCAAGTGTCTAGCACTTGCTGCCATCCTGGGCCCACTCTCTGCCCATTCCCCTTCTGATGAGCCTCTGTTCTAGATCATCATGGTATTGAGGTGTGAGCTGTCAAGGCTTCAGGACTGGATGGGTCTTAGTGAGAGCCCCCAAAGCAGGGTACATACAGTCTGCCTCCTGGCCTACACCTTAAGACTAGCCGAGACCATTTAGTTCCACCCCACACTCAGTGAAGGAATATGAGGGAGAAGACCTATGCTGAGCTGACCAAGGGCTTCTGTGGCCCCAATTTGGTTGATGTCTTTACTGCAGAGAGTCTTGAATGCCAAGGGTTTGAATTTCCTGAACTTTTTCCATGAGCCTCCCACCAGGGGGAACCCAGTTTGATATATGCACCAGCTGCGATCAGCAACAAGGTCAAAACTTCCCTCCACCTTCTGTTCCACAGTGTATCCCCCTTGCAGTCAGACTCAAGGTACAGATTCTTCCTGTTGTAATCCAAACTTCAGCTGAGGACTTCTTCAGATCCAGATGGGTTTGAGAACTCTGGGCTCCTGAGTCCCTGCATTTCTGTGGTTTCTAAGAGATGTGTGTTTTTTGTTTGTCTGTTTTGTTTTTTGGGTTCTGGGGATTGAACCCAGGGGTGCTTTACCACTGAGCCACATTCCCAGCTCTTTATTTATTTATTTATTTTTTAGTTTTGAGATAGGGTCTCACTAAGTTGCTTAGGGCCTCACTAAATTTCTGAGGCTGGCCTTGTGATCCTCCTGCCTCAGCCTCCCAAGTCTGGGATTATAGGCATGTGCCATGGTTCCCAGTGGGACTTGTGCTTTTAAAGCTACTGCTGACTCCAGACTTGCACTACCTCATTTTCAGCAACAACATTGTCTCATCCCTGCT